GTGACTCCCACCTTCCAAACCAGCCATATTCTCTAGTTTCTAATCTTCTAAATCTTCAACGTCTCCCCTCGAATTAGTCCAATCAAACTTTCTCTCCTTCCATCCGCATCAGAAAACTCCCATGAGAATCACGTGGCCAAGCTTGTCCTTAATGGCGCTCCGTAACCCTCCTAGTATTCCACCACCCTTCATCGCCTTCCTTGAGCTCCGCCCCGCCCCATTCGCGCTCCCCCCGCCACCCCGGTACTCCCCGCAAAGTGCCTGCGCCTGCGCAGCTCCAATTCAGGCGCTTTCCCTTTCCTGGCGACCAATCCACTTCCTGCCTCTGGTCCTCGGAACATTCCACCCCTCCGCTGGGGCCCTGGCTTGAGGTGCTGGTATTGGCCACCCTACGCATTGCCTGTCTGAAAAATTCGCACTTCTCATCGAGTGGGGAATTTGGAAGAGCCATTAAGTGGGTGGCACCTCTATGAGCCTTTGCCGTGGACCCACCACCCCAGAGTCAAGCTGAGGGCATCGGCATGCTTGCTGGAAGGGCGACCCAGACTGTTTTTAATCGGGCAGTCGCGCGGACCGCCTTTTCCCCTCTCGCATCCCTCCGCCCCGCCCCCACTCGCAGCCCGGCCGCGCTGGTGAGTGGCGGGCGGGAGGGCCGGCGGGCGGAGGGAGGAGGGGGAGCTGAGGGAAGGCGGGCCCTCGGCTGCGAGATAGGTGGGGGGAGGGGAGGGGAGAGCCCGAGCGCTGGAGTTGGTGCTGGGAAACCCGGGGCTGATGTTGACAACAGGCTCGAGGTGAGTCCCGGGGATCCTCCTTCCCCTCTGCTCCAACGATCGGGAGGAAACGGGGCTGGGGGCACCGGCCTAGACTCCTACTCCCTGGGGGACCCCAGAGGCGACTCCGCACTTCAGCTCTCCGGGGGCGGCGAGCAGTGGAGGGACCGCGGGTCCGGCGTCGTTCTCCTCAGACCCCCTCTTTGCGAAGCTCCCATCAACGCGGGAGCCCCCGGGCCGGGCCAGGCATGGGGGGCGGTGGAGGAGGTGCCTGCCCCACAAGCTTCGGCCGGGCCTCGGGGCTGGAGGCGGGGAGCCCCCGGTGGAGGGGCGAAGGTGTTCGGGGGCGTGGAGGAGAGCGAGGGGAGGTCGGGGGAAGCTCCTCGAGAGCCGGGAGCGAAGCGAGGGCGAGGAAGTGGGGAGGGCGCTTATGTGGGAGGATGCGGAGTGAGGAGACCGGCCGGGGAGGCTTCGGTGGCTAGGGAGTGTGGGGCGAGAAGTTGGGGTTGGGGCAGCGATGGTCCGCGAAGGTGACCGTGGTTACCCGTGGGAAGGGGAGTTGTGGCGGGGAAGTGTGGTGGGTGTAGACGTTCCTGCACCACCAGAGCGGGGTTTGTAGGAGAGGTGTGTGTAGGGGAAGGGGTTTGGGGTGTATCTGGGGATGGATGGTGGGCATGGGCTGTTTGGTTGACTTCCTTTGAATCACGTAGGCTGGTTGATTCTTCACTTTGCCTTCAGCCCTTCAAGGCTCCCAGCACTCTCTTCTTGCTAGGACTGTTGGACTAAGGAGGTGATCACAGGGTATTTGGTTCCCAGGTTGGCAGAGCAAAGCCAGCTGGGGTACACGCTGGGGTGATGGGACCTACAGCTCTCTTGCTCTTCTTAGAGGACTTAAACGACACTAAGTGATCCATCAGACCAAAGTGAAACCCTCGCTGACGCTTTATCTCATTTGTCATAGTTCTTAGGTGTTCTTAACATTGTCAGACTCCATATTTGGGAGCTGGTAAAATTTCTAACAATTCTTAACGAGTCCTTTGTACTAAGGATGGTCTTTAAAAAATAAAGTCAAAAACTGGGAGATAGTGTTCCCATGCTGTTCTGTCCTTAGAACATTTTGAATAGGAGAACTGAAAGGTAAAACAGCATTCTCTCACTCTGGAGTATTTTCGGAGCACTCCGATTGGGATTTCATAGATAATCCATATGGTGCTTCGCAGGGGACTGTCTTTAAAAGGGAAACACCCCCTTTCCATACCCTCTCCCGCAGTACACTCCATTGGTACTTTTACTAGTAAATTAGTGTTACTTTCTTTTGGAAATTCAGAATATATTTAGAATACCAAATAAAATACACAGTCCAAGTGCCAGGACACTATTTTAGGAGCTGGAAAGGTGGTTTTAAAGCATGGCTCCCTTTTAAGGGTAGTCTGAATATAATTGTATTCAGCAAACTAATTGGTAACAGCTAATCGGATTCCAGTGAAAAGATCACGACTTTTTCTCATTATTATTGTTATTTTTTAATTAGCAACTGCATCTGTATTTCTCCTTATTGTCTTGAGAAAGGATCTGTTTAGAATTCTACTTTTGAGCTGAAAATCTTTTGGAAACACTTTAGATGAAAAGTTTGGCTGTTAAAGTTTAAACAGAGCAAGACCCCGTTTTTTTTTTTTTTTTTTTTAAAAAAAAAGATTTTTAGCATTTTATTAAATACCACTTAATGCTCAGTTTTTTAAGTCGACATAAACATGTATTGAGGTGAATCATAGTTTATATATTTTATTTGTTTTAGTGTACGTAGTGAAAAAGAGCACTGGGTAGTGAGTCTTGGTCCAGCCACGAAACTCACTGTGTAATCCTGGATAGGTGACCCTCCTGCTGTCCTTTTAATGTCAAAATTGTGGATAGAATTAGACAAAATCTAATAGTCTTTATCTGACTTTACAATCTTTCATTGTATGCTGCATTTCTCAGTGTTCTTTGTGACAGAATATTTATTAATGCCTCCCTCATGCTAGTTACTATGCTCTTATTTTAAGAATTCTTTAAGATAGATAACAGTATATCCGTCTTATGGATAAGTAAGTGGACTCAGACGTGAAGTTGCCTGATTTCCGTAGCCACGAGGCTGAAGAGTTGGGATGCAGACTTAACATCTGTCTGACTTCCAAGCCTATGCTTGTTATTCTCACAAGTTGCATTGCTGTCTCTACGTGAACTTAGATTTTTGTCTTATTTTTTTGTTTAGGGAAATTTAGTTTCAAGTATACTTTGGGTGTATGCTTGTAATGTAAGGATTAAGTGATTGAAAGAGGATACCAGTATCAGGACTTAAGGGTTTTATTATGCTCTAGGGTAGAGTCTTTTTTTTTTTTTTTTTGAGACAGAGTCTCATTCTGTCCCCAGGCTGGAGTGCAGTGGCATGATCTCAGCTCATTGCAACTCTGCCTCTCAGGTTCAATGATTCTCCTTCATCAGCCTCCCGAGTAGCTAGGAGTACAGGCGCGCGCTTCCAGCTAATTAAGTACTCTACTAGAGATGGGGTTTCACCATATTGGCCAGGATGGTCTCAATCTCCTGGCCTCGTGATCCATCCACCTCAGCCTCCCAAAGCGCTAGGATTGCAGGCATGAGCCACCGTGTCTGGCCCCGAGTCTAATTCTTGAATGCCTACTGTAGCTTTATTTCACATATTAAGTACTCAAAATGTAATGAACAGATGAATCTTATTAAAGTCATAAAAGTTTGGGACTTTGTTGAACTAATAAATTATGATCTTTGTCAGTTTGTCAGATACCACGTGAATTTCTTAATGTTTTCTTAGAAGAACTTAAGATTTCATTTTATCTTTAGAAATGAGACAGGCTGGGCTCAGTGGCTTATACCTGTAATTCCAGCGCTTCAGGACGCTGAGGCAGGTGGATCACCGGAGGTTGGGAGTTCGAGAGCACCCTGACCAACATGGAGAAACCCTGTCTCTACTAAAAATACAAAATTAGCTGAGCGTTGTGATGCATGCCCATAATCCCAGGTACTCAGGAGGCTGAGGCAGAAGAATTGCTTGAACCGGGAAGTGGAAGTTGTCGTGAGCCGAGATCGTGCCATTGCACGCTAGCCTGGGTAACAAGAGTGAAACTACATCTCAAAAAAAAAAAAAAAAAAAAAAAAAAAAAAAAAAAAAAAAAAAAAAAAAAAAAAAGGAAATGAGACATAAATTTTAAGTTCTGATGCCATTCTTTGTAGTTTCCTGTGATGCTGAAATGTCACTTGTTGATGCTTCACATCACAAAATGGGAAATATATGTAAATTTTTTTTCACATAATGATTAATATCCCTTAATCAGATTGTGTTATTACCTTAGATATTAACTTGTCCCCATATGTTTCGGCTAGAGTCTGCTAAAAGTTAAAAACATTATGTAAGAACTGCTTAACCATTATGAAGAATTCTTTATACTCTTGAGATTCACAATTCTATGGTTTGTCATAGTCAGTATTTATGAACAAGTCTTCCATCTCACAATTTGGTACTCTCAGGATTCTTTGGTTCAGAGAATAGGTTCAGATTCCAGTTCTGTCGCCAGCTGTGGAGGCCTTGGTCAAGTTACTTGGTCAGGTCTCAGTTTACTCATTGATAAAATAGGGAAAATAAAACCCACCTCATAAAGATTTTAGTATTAAATGAGATAATGTATGTAAAATGTTTAGTATGGTACCATGAGTAGTAGGTATTAGTATTACAGTCTCTTTGAAAGTTTACTTGCCTTAAGGGCATGATATTTTCATATTAAAGTTGGATGTTTAATTGAAAATGTTAAGAATCGATAACTATACTTCCAGATAATATAAATGTTGGCCAGGTGTGGTGGTTTGTATTTGTAATCCTAGCACTTTGGAAGACTGAGGTGGGAGGACCCCTTGAGCCCAGGAGTGTGAGACCAGCCAGGGCAACGTACTGACCTTGTCTCTATTTTTAATTAACAGTGTTTTAAAATTTAAAAAATAGATAATATAAATGTTAATGTTTTCTTGGCGTAGTTATAATGCTTTTTCATGTATATATGTGTGTGTGTGTGTGTGTGTGTGTGTGTGTATATATATATATATATANTTAAAGACGGGGTTTCACCATGTTGGCCAGGCTGGTCCCGAACTCCAGACCTCAGGTGATCCACCCACCTCAGCTTCCCTAAGTGCTAGGATTACAGGCATGAGCCACTGCACCTGGCTGACCATTTTAAAAATAGGACCAAGAGACTTTTTTTTGGTTCTGAGTTTTACCAGTGGGGTTAACTAAAGCTTTTAGGTGTCGTTGTCAAAATTAATGCATAGAACAAGGGAGTGGAGAGCAATGAGAGGGTGAAAGAAAAAGTAGAAGGAAAAGGTAGTTTTCCATGTTGGTCCGGCTGGTCTTGAACTCCCGACCTCAGGTGATCCACCCGCCTCAGCCTCCCAAAGTAATGGGATTACAGGCGTGAGCCACCACGACCAGCCGTTCTTTACTTTTTTAAGGAAAAATCCAAGCCGAAACAAAAGTAGAGAATATAATATATGGAACCTCCACGTACCCATCACTCAGATTCAGCTACTATCAACTCTAAAACAATGTCATTTAATTGTAAATACTGCAGAATGTATCTGTGAACATTTTGAGTCAGTATTTTTGCAGGTACATGCCATAGCCTTTATCTGAGAAGATACAGGGTGTGGCATGTACCTGGAAAAACTAGTGTTTCTATTGGCCTAGGTTGCTTTCTGTGATGCTAACATTTTATTAGAGTACTGAAGTAAAATTTTTTGTATTTAAAAAATATTGATATTGCAAATGATTTTTTTTGGTAACCTAGTTTTAAGTACTGTAATTTAAAACTTATATTTGAAAATATTTAAGTATACTATAGCTTTTGATAAAAAAACTGAAGGCCAGCTGGGCACTGTGGCTCATGCTTGTAATCCCAGCAGTTTGGGAGGCCAAGGCAGGTGGATCACTTGAGGTCAGGAGTTCAAGCAGCCTGACCAATAGGGTGAAAACCCATCTTCACTAAAAATACAAAAATCAGCTGAGTGTGGTTGGCACATGCTTATAATTCCAGCTGGGAATTATAAGGGAGGCTGAGGTGGAAGGATCGCTTAAACCTGGGAGGTGGAGGTTGTAGTGTGAGCCGAGATCGCACCACAGCACTCCAGCCTGGGCAACAGAGCCAGACTCAAAAAAAAAAAAAGAAAAAGAAAAACAAAAAAATGAAGGGCCAACACAATGGCTCACACCTGTAATCCCAGCACTTTGGGAGGCTCAGGTGGGTGGATCAATCACTTGAGCTTAAGAGCTGGAGACCACCATGATCAACATGAGGAAATCCATCTCTACTAAAAATACAACAGTTAGCTGGGTGTGGTGTTGACTGTCTGCAGTCCCATCTACTTGGTGGGCTGAGGCAGGTGGCTCACTTGAGCCCAGGAAGTCGAGACTTCAGTGAGTTGTGATTGTGCCAGTGCGCTCCAACCTGGGTGACAAAGTGAGATGCTGTCTTTTTTTTTTTTTTTACTTTTTATTCATTTATTTTTTTGAGACAGGATTTCACCATGTTGGCCAGGTTGGCCTCGAACTGCTGACCTCAGGTGATGTGCCCACCGCGGCCTCCCAAAGTGCTGGGATTACAAGTGTAATCCACTGTGCCCGGCTGAGACACTGTCTTAAAAAGAAAACAAAAAACTGAGAAGTTTAGGTAATTTTCTACTTCTGAAATAGAATTTTGATTTTCTTATACACAACTCTTACATAATTTAGGAGTTAAAACATGAAGCACTGTGGATAAAAGAAATTAGCTAGTTCTGAATAGAGAAATAGATTTTTAGAAAAGAAAAATCCAGAATTTTCCTCCAAAATACAGTTTTTTGTTCCACAGTTACTTTCAGTTGACTATAAATAAGCCTGTACCGTAGGCCAGTGCTATCCAGTAGAACTTTCTGTGGAAGTGTTCTGTATCTGCCCTGCTATGGATGGTAGCCATTAGTCACATGTGGAATTGAGCACTTGAAATACAGATACTGACTGAAGAACAGAATTTCAAATTTTATTTAATTTTAATTAATTTTCATTTAAGTAACCACATATGACTAGTACAGTAGTTTTTGGGTGATGATTTTGTCCCCAAAGGATATTTAGCAATGTCTGGAGTTATATTTGGTTGTCAAAATGAGGGAGAAGCTACTTGCCTGCACTGCATAGCAGGCAGGGACACTGCTAAAGCTCCTAAGTGCACATGGTGGCCCCTTCCCTCCAAAAGAATTATGCTGCCCAAACTATCAGTGGTGCTGAACTGTGGAAACCCTGGGTGATAGCTACTCTGTATTGGCAGATATAGCACAGAACATAAGGATTTTATGTTCACGTTTATTTATAAATCAACTTCGACTAATCCAGATGAAGAGGTTAAAAGTCCAGTTTAATTTGAGGTAGTTTACTGTTTTTGCATCCGAATGTTTGACGATAAGGTTAGAGCAATGAAGTGCGATTTGGGAGTCTGCTCTTCTGTTTTGTCCATTGACTTACAGGAAGCAAGGGCTTGTTTATGTTTCCTTTCTCAGCTGAAATACTGACATTGAATATCGTATGAAATAGTGAACCACCATCTCATCATGGTTGTCAAATGCTAGGGTTAAAGCTGACTCAAAATGTTAACAGATACATTCTGCAGTATTTACAATTAAATGACATATTGTTTTGGAGTTGATAGTAGCTGAATCTGAGTGATGGGTACGTGGAGGTTCTGTACATTATATTATCTACTTTTGTTTCGGCTTGGATTTTTCCTTATAAAAAGTAAAGAACGGCTGGGTGTGGTGGCTCACGCCTGTAATCCTATTACTTTGGGAGGCTGAGGCGGGCGGATGACCTTAGGTCGGGAGTTTGAGATGAGCCTGACCAACATGGAGAAACCAGGTCTCTACTAAAAATACAAAATTAGCCGGGCGTGGTGGCACTTGCCTGTAATCCCAGCTACTCAGGAGGGAGGCTGAGGTAGGAGAATCATTTGAACCTGGGAGGCAGAGGTTGCAGTGAGCCGAGATTGTGCCATTGCACTCCAACCTGGGGTACAAGAGCAAAACTCCATTTTAAAAAAAGTGAAAAACAAGTACTTAGACATGGGCGAAACTAATAATGATAGGATGTGGAATGTGACCAATAACTTACGTTATCACAGAAATAATATTCATTTTACGTGCCTTTATTTACTCTTTTAAAATTGCCAAGCTGCATTAATATGTTCTGTGTAAAAAATAGTGTCTTTTGATTTAAAAAGTCACTGCATCTACGGTACTGACATTCTTTTCCTCTTACAGATTGTCCTGGGTCACATAATGCCAGCTGAGCGTAAAAAGCCAGCAAGTATGGAAGAAAAAGACTCTTTACCAAATAACAAGGAAAAAGACTGCAGTGAAAGGCGGCCAGTGAGCAGCAAGGAGAAGCCAAAAGACGATATTAAGCTCACTGCCAAGAAGGAGGTCAGCAAGGCCCCCGAAGACAAGAAGAAGAGACTGGAAGATGATAAGAAAAAAAGGGAAGACAAGGAACGCAAGAAAAAGGAAGAAGAAAAGGTAAAGGCAGAGGAAGAATCAAAGAAAAAAGAAGAAGAGAAAAAGAAACATCAAGAAGAAGAGAGAAAGAAGCAAGAAGAGCAGGCCAAACGTCAGCAAGAAGAAGCAGCAGCTGCTCAGATGAAGTAAGGCGGTTGATTGTAGTTACTGATGTGAGGGAATGGGAAGATTGGAATATTTTTGGGGAAAAAAAACATTATTTGAAATATAGTGCCCTGGGTGCAGCTCTTTAAGAATTGGAAGTATCTGGCCGGGTGTGGTGGCTCACGCTTGTAATCTCAGCACTTTGGGAGGCTGAGGCGAATGGGTGGGCAGATCACAAGCTCAGGAGATCAAGACCATTCTGGCTAACATGGTGAAACCCTGTCTCTACT